GGCCGGCCCTTAAGTAGAATTTATTTAGAAAATGCATATACGCCCAAATGAGGCATAAGTCTGCTCTTAGCAACCTGTTAAGATTAGTTTATCATACTTGTTGCCTTATTCTCATGAATATGCTTAAAAGAAGTAATAAGGGTGAATAATTCCCTCTCATCCTTTTAATGGATGGTCCCCACAGACAAGTGCAATGTCATGGATAGATCTGCTATAAAAGTTTGTGTTATTAATGTGAACTGAATTGATGATTAACTAGAAAGCAGCAATTACAATGAACTGATTCAAACTTCCATATGCAAAAGTTGGACCCAGCAAATCAAAATTAAACCTTCTTTGGGAAAAATAAATTTCAATTTAGCACATAGATCTTCAGAGAAAACTATTTATATACATTTTGAAAAATCATTTTAAATATTTTAGATTTGTTTTCTCAAAATTTAAGAAAGTATCTCTGTCATATGCATATAACTTTCTCTTAAATTTGGAAACAAGATTAAATCTTACTTTTTGGTATTTGATATTTCAAAAGATAAAAGGAGTCTTGAATGTTTCACTTTTTCCCACTTTATTAGGAATGTGAAATTATTCATATGTAACATTAAATTTTGTTTATAAAATTAGCAAAAACCAATTGTTAATTTATATTATATATTATCCAGTTGAGAATGGCCACAGGATCCAAGAGGCCATGTGTCATGATGTCAGTTAAATCATTCTTATGTTGTGGAGGCTGAGTGCTTTTGTAAGTCCCTGGGTGGTCTGGCCGGATTTCCTGGTTGAGTTAGAACAGTCTTTTCTATCATGGGATGCCTTGCCCAGGTTGTGCAATATAACCATTGAAACCAAGCAAACCTGTTGCTCAACTACTTCAATTCTGTTTCTTCTATATCCAAATCAGGTTATTTTCATACAAACATGGTTCAATAGAATATTTACCAGCTGATAAAAAGGATTATAAAAATTTCTGTGGGCTTACTAAATTAAAAAATAAAAAACTAGTTTGAAAATATGCTGTGAGCCAGACACTCTGAAAAGCAAGCTTTATTGTCTAGATAAAATTCAGGTTTAACCAAGAACAGGTATCAGATGCAGTTCTTCATAGGTGGCTTTCCTTTTATCTTTCTACCCACCTGGGCTACCCACAGACTCTTTTATTTCTCATCCTAGGATGATGCCACAGTTGTGGTAGGTGTGGCCCTGTCACTAGCGTGATGCTGGAAGAAAAGCTTCTGCTTCCCACCAAGGCCAAGTCCAAGTCATTGGAGTAGGAATAGATAGGGTTGTTCTTGCTCTGGGCGAAGGTGGGAGAGAAAGCGAAAAGAGTACTGTAAGTGAATCATCCTGACAGGAGACTGTATTGAGTCCTGTTTCTATCGTTCTGTACTTTAGTTTTTACAGAATGGCCTTAAGAGTCAGCCGTCCAGTTCCTTGAACGTAGATAATTCATTTTTTTATGCTTTGTTCTGCCTTCCAAATTTATTTTCAGAAAAATGTGGATCAACTAAGTTTGAACTCAATTTTAACTGGTACTCAGTTTTAACTGGTACTTAATTTGTTAACTCCTCAAGTATTAATTGCTCAAAGAAAAATAAAACAATTATCTCAGAAATGGATTTGGAAATTTTATTTTTAAAAAGGGGAAAAAATTGCTAACATTTCTTACAGCAGTTCTGTGCTGTAACTTTCCACTGCCAACATCTGAGATTTTCTGGGTTTCTTCATAAAAACTGCTCTTGCATAAGATTTGTCTTCTTTGGGGCCGGCCGAGTGGTGCGTTGGTTAAGAGTTGGCTTAGGACGCCACTTCTGAGCAGCAGGGCCCTGGTTTGGATCCCACATTAGGGCCAGTGATGCTGCGCCCTCTACAGCTAAGATGGTGAGCAACAGCTCGACCTAGAGCTGGGCTGCCATGAGTCGCCAGCGATGGCGTAGGCTGCAGTGGGGCTGGCCGGCAGCTGGCATGAGCTTTCGTGAGCTACTGTGAGCGGCCGTCCAATGGCCAGTGAGCAACTGCCTCACCCATGAAGAGCACAATGATAATACCAACGTGGGCCAGTGAAGTTGTGTCCCCCACAACTAGACTGAAGAACAAAAGGACAGCAACTTGTCTGTTCCCCTTCCCCGATTCCCCAACGCTGTTTCCTTCCCCCAATTCTCCAAAAAGTCCTGGAAAATAAAAACAAAACCATTTGTCTTCCTTGCTTTATTCTGTAAGTTTTTGAACCCACAACTACTTTGCTGCATTATGAGGACTTTTCAGGGTCTAAACCATGTAAAGACGTGTGGATTATTAACTGTATCTGTGTATTAAATGATTATTGAGGGACTAATATGTACCTGCTATCACTGTGTGCCAGAGATACAAAAGCAAAACTCCCAATCTAATTGGGGGAATACACACATATCTGAATAATTATAAAGTAGTCACAGAGATGTTAAAAAGATTTACAAAGTACAAATAGGACCAGACAATGGAGTAACTAATTATGCCAAAGAGAGTCAAGGAATATGGTAATATTTGATCAAGGTCTTCAAAGATGACTAGGGATTCATCCATTGGCTTCCCAATGGGAGTGGGTATTCCAATTACAGGGAACATCATTTGCAAAAGCACAGAGGCCTCATGGAAGCCTGAAATACAAGATAAATCCTGAAAGTGGCCTGGAATCACTGGAATTTAGGGTACAAAGATTAAGCGTAAGTGACTTTCACCAGTTGACTGGCTCTCTCAGCTGCCTTGCACATTCTCCGCTTAGTTTCACTCCTGCTCCAGCTCCCAATACAAGAGAGCTCTTTTTCTCACCCAGCATCTCTGGTCATTGAGACAGTAATTTCACAGCTAGTTTATGAGCATCAGACTCCTTTCATGAAAGGAACATAGCTTGTGCCTCTGTATATATTACTCTCTTTAACAAAACCAGCCCTGTCCAGTCTGAGTACTTCTCCTATTTACTGAGGTTTATTCCCAAAGACTTTTGACTGTTTTCAAGTCAAGTCTATCATTGAAGAGTGAAGACTTGTCATCATTTGAGATTATTAAGGAATATATAGTAAATTCTGAAAATAACCCTGAGAAATAGTCCAAAAATGTTTTGAGTAAGACTAGCATCATTTATAGCCTTTTAAGATGATTCTTTGAAAATAACACTCCTTTGGTTGTGCAAATTCTAGTGTATTTTAAAGTAGTCATATATAATTTTTATATGTGATAATGATAGTTTGGTTATTTTTTTGAAATCATTTTTTGGAGATACATACTGAAATAATATGGTGAAATATTGTGAGATTTGCTTTAAAATAATCCAGTGGTGGGAGGAGAGGGCAGTGTGGGAGTATAGATGAAATAATATTAATGATAGACATATGAGATTCATTGTACTACTTATTTTTGCATGTTTAAAACTTTCAATAATAAAGTCACCTTACATTATAGTCATATTTTATTTTGCACTTGTAGGTGAGAAAGGAATAATCATTTTCACAAATATAAAGGTACATGGTACACTTGAACACCATTAGTCCATTAGCCCCTCCATAGACTGAGAGAATCTGAGTTCTTTATAAGGACCTCTGATACCTTTGCTGTAAAGAATTACATATTCATGTGTAAATAGATAATCTTTTAGTGTTTCTAAAGATAAGTAGTAAATTAAACATGCAAACCTAACAAATTAATGTATACTAAAAACTCTACCTTTTCCCCCAAAGAGTATACTACTACTTATTTTGCTTGTCATTGTTTTTTATTTTACAGCAAAACTGCACTATGAACACTAATGAATAAAAATGATCCAATTTAAATGTAGAGGTATTTTCCTCCTATTATAATGTATCAACTTATACTGATTACTGCCTTCTTCATAGAGCCCTCTTCCACCTATTAAAAAAAAAGTTTTATGAACTCCAGGCATTCTTGGATAATAAAGCTCTTGTTAAAATCAGGTCTCTTTAATTCA